ATTTTGCCCTGATTCTCTCTTCAGATCAAAACGTCCCTCTTCCACCTTCTGGGAATAGGGCTTGCTGAAGGCACAAGCAGCATTCTTCACAAGTTTGCCCCAGCCCTCAGGCACCCATCTGGTCATGCAACCCATCCCAATCAATAGCTAATGTGGAAATGTAAAGGCCTCACCTCACTGCTTCAACTTGAGAAAATCTAACACATCTTTCTAGTTCTGTGTAAAGTTTTCTCAAAGGATCACAACCTCACTCCTCTGCCAAACCCTGCCTTCCTCATTTCCTCTGTGAGGTACTCCAAGGGCGCTGCCTAAGAAACGACAGCCATTTAAAGTGAAGAAATGCTTTGACCAAGAGACACAGGAAATTAAAAAACTGTCCTTGCAGTTTTTAGATCGGGCATGTCTGTGAAGATTGTTAGTCAGACCTATCCTAGAGCCAAGGCTGGTAACAAGATTGAATTTAAGAATCTTTAAGAATGCTAGAAGGCAAGAAGCAGATCTTGGGCAGGACAGGGCTGGAGAATCTACAGATACCAGTCTTCCTTGCTAAGCCCACACTGAGACACCTGCTGATTGGCCCAGTGTTTTCTTGAATATTCAAAATTATCAGATGAGGGGCAATCTATAGACCACTGCCCACGCTTGTTTCTAGACCGTTCTTGTCTACTCCTGTCTCCTGTTCTCTTCATCAAAAGCTTTTACAATGTTGTCCTAGCAGCTTGTCGGCCATCAGTTAAATAGGGGGTTCCAGAGAGAAAACGTCAAGATCAGGAAGAAGACAGGGCAATGACCAGGGCTTCTAAAGTGAAGGGAATCTCCTGTAGCCCCCTGATCACAAACTTGAAAATCTCAGAGCAGGTAATTTCCTGCCGAAAATGTAAGTTATGGAACTGACCAAACAATTACAAAAGCAAAAGAAAGAGTGGTGATTGGGACCCCATTTTAAAAAGTTGCCCCATCCCTATTTTTCACTATTGAGATTGACATGATCTTCAATAGGTAACTTTAACATTATATAAACCCTTTGTTTTTTGACTTTCTAGTGTCCTTCATTCTTTCTGGTCTTAAAAACATTGACAAAGGCTTTGTTTATGTGAGTAGAGGTATCAGTCAAAAGATAAATTAAATATTACTTCATTTGGAAATACAGCAAACATATTATATATTAGAGTATAAATATATAAAGTGTACAATGTGTAAGCATTTTTTTAGAAATAATTACATTTTCAAAAGCTCAGTGAGCAGAGTGGCCCTGTTTCATGTTGTTTAACACCTGGTTAATGTCTAGTAGAAAAAATAGCATTTCATTTCTACTTCTGAATTCAATTAAGTGTAATATCTTATTTTGGCTAACTATCTAAAAAAAATCTGACCTCAAAGAAAGAAGGAATTTGGAAAAGGAAGAGTATCTTAAGTAGATCCTTGTGGCTACTCTTTCTGATAACACTCCCCTGATTAAGCAGCAATAGTTTTTCAAATGTCAATTGCAGGACTGCAGAGATAGCTCAGTCTATAAAGTGCTTGGCATACAAGCAAGAAGACCTGAATTCAAACCCCAGAGTACCCCTCCCCGACACACACTCTTTTTAAAGCTGGGCATGGTAGTGCATACTGTAATTCCAGTGCTGGAAAAGCAGATAGGTAGATCCCTGGGTCTCATTGGCTAGCCAGCCTAGTTTTCTTGGTAGTTCACAGGTAAGCAAGAGATGAACTCAAAAAGAAACATGAATGGCACTTAAAGAATAACACTCAAGCCGGGCGGTGGTGGCACATGCCTTTAATCCCAGCACTCGGGAGGCAGAGGCAGGCGGATCTCTGTGAGTTCGAGGCTGGGCTGGACCGACAGCCTCCAAAACAATACAGAGAAACCCTGTCTCATAAAACCAAAAAAAAAAAAAAAAAAAAAAAAAGAATGACACTCAAAGTTATCTGCTGGTCTCCACATGCACATACCACACACACACACACACAGAGGAATACACACATGCACACAGGTACATGCACACACATACACACATCTACACAGGGAATTGAACTATTCACTCTGCTACATTAAAAACCTACTGGTTTATCTTAGCTTTGAATGGAATTTTTTTCTCATTCAGGATATTGTGACATCATACATTGGTCATTTGGAAAACATTGCCACTTTTATTATATACTTTAAAACCACATTCATTAATATCACCATTTCTCATCAGAACACCCCCCCCCATATAGTGTCGTGTGTCCCAGGCCGGAGGTGAACTCACTATGTACATAAGTATGAACTGGAACTTCTGAGCATCCGGCTTCCACCTCCCAAATGCTGGGGTCACAGGTGTGCACGACCATGCCCAGGTTTACACATTGCTGGAGATGGAACCCAGGGCTTTGTGCGTGCTAGAGAAATACTCTAGCAACTGAGCCACATCCCCAGACCCAGAAACTTTTTAAAGAGTAGGAAGACATCAAGCTCGTAGAGGCTGATAAACCTTTCCAAAATGCTCATCTCACACATGGCTCACATTTTATGACCTGTCACAAATATTGGTGAATGCGTACGTGACAGGGCCATTTTGTTCTTTTGCGAGAAAACATTTGCCAAATATCCAAGTTTGAGAGCTATAGTTCTCTAACGGTTCTTCTTTCCGTGAGAAAAGAGGCTATTTGGCATGCAACTGAGTCTCATGATGCTTCCCCTCCGGGAATTCATCATGCTGTGTTTGATCATTCAGAATATCAAAAAAGATGCCTACTCAAGTGTCAAGATTTAATGAGATGAATAAATCTTACTGCTTTACTAAAGCTTTTTAAGTGCAACTAGAATTTTAACTTCCTTTGTGCGCATGGCAGTGGAGAGTGAGAGTTTTGGGAGAGCTGTGTGCAGCAGTTGCTCTGGTGCCTCCAGTGTGAAAGTGGCAAACAGAGTGAAAAGGGCAAACGGTGTCCATTATTGTAAAACCAGCCTTGACTTCAGCCACCTCTACATCGGCCACACTTTGAAAATCGCTGATCTGAGAAATCTTCCCGAATATAAACAGTTTTTATTTTTGGAAAGCTCTCTGCTGCACTTTATGGAACAATCATAAACTTAACACTGAAACTTGATATGTGATCAAGAAAAAACGATGCACCATGATTGCATTTATGGATGTAGATTAGAAAGCATTTTTTAAAATATTAGCAAAGAAAATTTAGCAGTATATAAAAACACAACAAATAGGATTATGGGATATCTACCTAAAAATGAATTGCATCAACAAATGAAAAGAGAAATAACAAGTCATTACCTATTTTTAAAACCCTGAGAAGACATCTAATATAATTTAGTGGTCATTGTTAATAAAATCTCAGAGTACAATAAATAGAAGGGTAAAGTAAAATAAATAGAGTAATATAAATAAATCATGTCAGCATGATAAAGATTTAACAGCAGCACAATTGTAGGTGGTGAAATATTCAGATGCTAAGATACACATCATCATTGTCATAATTCGACTTTTTTGATGTTGTATGTAAAAAACAAAGCAAATGACGCCCAATGCTCAAGGAACACTGTGGAAATGGGGCAGAGTTATTGTAAGAACCTGCAGACCAGGACATCTGCTACAAGGTAGTCTTCTGTATATGGCGGGGAGCTGTGTGCATGCAATACTAACAATATGGCCACCTAAACAAGACCTGCACAATGATACAGTTGTTATCCCAAAATGAATAGGAATAGGCGATTATTTGTTGCGAAGAATGAAGAGTTGGTCTTCTCTTGGGATGAACCCCTGAAAAGTTATCCAATTGCAAGTGGCCAGCCTTAAACCTAAACACATATATGTATAAGCAACACTAATGGACTAAATGGACTCAGCAGGAGATATATATATAAATTATGTATACATAATATATATACATATATATATATTATCTCCAGGTAGGTATGTGACAGTAATAATTAAAAGAAAGAGGTGATGAAGTTGAAGTGGAGGGGCGTATGGGAGCAGTTGGAGAAGGAAGTATGGAGGGGAGATTATATAAATACAGTATTTATGTATAAAATTCTCAAAAAATAATATATGTAAAAAATAGTGTTGGCAGGTCAAACGGATTTTGGATAAGCACTCCTGTAAACCAACAGTCTAAGCTTTCCTGCCTACTGCCAATTCCTGAGGGTGGGATCTCTCCCCCTTTCACTGGTCTTGGGTCTCTCCTCACCCAACTGCCAGGAGTTTGTGTCTAGAGTTTCAAATGTAGATCCAAGATAAAAAATTTCCCCTAAATTCCTTAACTGTACCTCCTCTCCCTAGTCTGTCTGTCCCAGCAGACGTCAAGTCAATTCAGACTGATCCAGTATCAGTTCCAGATGCTCCCTCAAGATCTGCCTCCCTGAGGGTTCAAATAGGCCACCTGACGTAGTCACGGTGGCCGAGCCTTATAGTTGCTCCAAAAATGCAGCCTGTGCTTTCCTAGTCTCAAAGGGTCCTGCAGAGCCTGAGCAGCAAGAGAAACAGCCTGCTCTTCTCTGACATGGCCAGCATTCTAGCTGCCTTGACAACCCCCATCCCCAACAATGACAACCCAGTGTCAACAGGAGGTAATCATAGAGAAGATTACACATGAATCCATGTCACTGATTATCAACAAAAAGTTAGGACATTAGGTCTCAAACCTGGGACAAGTGGCTGAGGTCCCTATTTAATATATCAACACAGATGCTGGCCCCCAGGTTCTCCCTCCATCCCTCCATCCCTACTGTTACAGGGCCCTCCTGACTGGCATACCCCACTCCCTACTCTGAACTCTCCAGCCCAGGAGGCTGGGCTGCTTCTTCCCAATATAATCCCACCAGTTTGGTTACCCTCTCTCTTTGTATTTTGGGCCTCCTGGCTGCTGCACCGGATTCCTCTTTCTCCCCTCTTCCTTCCCCTCCCCCCTCCTCACAGAGCTTAGGGACATGTCCACTCTGGACTCTTCCCCATGAAAGACCTCGGCATCAAAGCACCGGGTACTGAACCGAACCCTCTGCCCAAGAACTGGGGCCAGACCACCGGATGCAAATGCAAGAGGTGATTTATTGAGTACACAGGCGCCTGCGGATGCTACTGCAACTCGGGTGCAGAGCATACCGGGCTTGCAGGGAGCACAATATTTATAGAGTTTTAATGGTTACATAAGTATCAGCATAGCAACAGGCATTTCATTGGCTCTTCTTGGGGGCAGGGGTAGTTCCCATGGACTAAGTTTCCTGGTATTACCTTATGAAAGACCCCGGCACGCTTCAGCAATTATTATCCTGGTCCCATGACTACTATGGTGATCATAGACACAACTGGGGGCAGGGATAGTTGCCAAGGACTAGGTGTTCTGGTATTGCCACATAAAAGACCCTGGCATGCTTCAGCAATTATTATCCGGGTCCCATGACTGCTCTGGTGACCACAGATCCTGTTTGACATCCTGCCAGCTGGGTGAGGCACCTGGTCTGGGTTTTTTCATTAGGCAACGGCCTGGCCTTGTTTTTCTTTTCCTAGGAGGCCCTGGGTAGGGGTCTTTCACCCAATGTCCCTGTCTCTAACTATGCTCTCCCTTTTATCTACAATAAACTATCTCCTCCACCATTCCTAGGAGCAGTATTGGAAAAGATGAGATCAAAGTATCATTACATTCTTTTTCTGAGTCTTATTCTCTGTCTTCCATCAGCCTCTTATAAATCTTTACCCATACTTTCTAGATACTTTCATTTAAGTTATTCTAAGATTCTTTCTGTGTCTGGCAATTCCACCTATATTTCCTGTCTGGCTACTGGCCTGTCAGGTTTTATTAACAATGAGAAAAATGCATCTTCACAGTGTACAGAGGACTCTTCCACAGCATTTCCCCCTTTTTGTCTAATTTAAGAGGAAGGGTTTTTTTTAACACAGTAAAACTGCATATAACAGAACAGTTATTAAGCAAGAATTATAGTTACAATATCCAGGCTATTTGTGATTGAGAAAATTAGAGAAAATATTTTACTATTTATCTAATCTTTGTGATTCCAAAGTTTTATGCCTAATCTACCTTCTGTCATAACTAAGGAAAACTATAACTATGTAGTCTTCAACTCCATCAACGATCAGAGAAGGACACGATATTACCTGAGTAAACAGGAAGTGAGAACAAACAACTTCCAAAACTAAGAAATGACAGAAACTGCCGGTTGTCTAGGCAGTCACCCAAGGTTCCTCTGTAGCATTGGGGCATCCATCTTCAGCCTACAGGCCTAGAATATCTGACAGACTTTACCTTGAAGCAGGAATTTTTGAAGGACTGTCCTATCTTGTCTTGGAAAAGTTTGGCAGCCACTTCCTTTTGTGTCCTGCTTGTCCAGTTTGGACAACATACTGTCAGCAGTCGAGGCAAGGGCAGTTTCTTGCTCAAATGGCTAGCTTTTGCAATAAAGAAAGTAATAAAGTCCATAAAGAGGTTCTTTGATGCCTATCATCCTTTTATGAAGCACATTAGTACTGCCAGGGACAGAAGTGTCTCACTCTCATGAAAAGCCCTATGTTATCACACATTAAAATGCTATACTCTGTAGGTCTTTGAAGTGTTTGAAGACCATCTATTTAAAATATGCCTCTGATTGACCTTGAAAATATGCCTAACATGACTATAAATTTGATTGTTATTGATGACTAACTACTAATCTGTATTTATATATGATTGTAAATAGTTTTTAAGGACTAGAACTTTATGTTTTTAAATGAGCTGCATAGGTACAATAACTTAAACAAGAGATAGAAACATATAATACAACAAAACAATATATTCTATTATATATAACAAAAATGTCAAATTTGTATCAGTATACAAAAATCCACACCAATGAAAATATTTGGGAATAATAGTTGCTTTTTTATATTTTAAAATAGATACAATAATCTACCCTTTTATCCTATCATTTCTATATTCCCCTTTTCCTTTTCAGAATGAGATCCCTGAATATAATTTCCTTGCTTAGTTTCTTCCCTGATTATGACCAGTAACAACTTGTGAGCAACCCCCCAAGCGATGATAAACATCCATCCAAAAACCACCCACCCCAAGCCGGGCGTTGGTGGTGCATGCCTTTAATCCCAGCACTCGGGAGGCAGAGGCAGGCGGATCTCTGTGAGTTCGAGACCAGCCTGGACTACCAAGCGAGTTCCAGTACAGCCTCCAAAGCCACAGAGAAACCCTGTCTCGAAAAAACAAACAAACAAACAAACAAAACCAAAACAAAACACCCACCCCACCTCTTGGGAATGTGGGTGTTGTGTTCCTAAAAGTACTTCCTGTTGTCTGGGTGGGTAACAGATCTTTAAGGGACCCTGAGAAATTGGGATAGCTATATCATTTGTGGTCCAGTGTCAGCGTAAGAGGAAAGCACAGGTTGCCTCTGAAGTCCTGACTGGAGTATCCTGTGAGGCTGTACCATCACAGCCAGCAGTCTTGAAGATGTTCTGGATGCAGAACTCTAAGGAAACTGCATCAGAGACACTCTGAGAGACTGGATCACCTGGGTTATACGTTTTCATTGGTGTTTGGTACCTTGCTCTGTCTTGTAGTTTTTCGAGATTTATTTCTTTATGTCTGTAGCCAGGATTTTCACGAGTCTTCCCCAGTGCGACATATTTTTTTACTTCCATTTTGAAGTTAAGACATTTTTAGAACAGGTTGGTTTAATTTAGTAGTTTTTACAATCCAGTGTCTCTCAGCAGTACTTGCTTTCTCATCAGCAATCAAAAAAATTAAAGCCAATGGAACACCATACAGGATCCAGACTCCCTGTGTAATTCCGATCTCTAGGTGACTTCATTTTTTCTTTTATAAATTACTTTCAAGATATTTTAATGGCTGTCTGTATCTTTTTATTGTCTTTCAAGACAGGATTTCTCTGTGTAACATCCCTGACTGTCCTGGCACTCACTCTGTAGACCAGGCTGGCCTCAAACTCACTGAGATCTGACTATCTCTGCCTTCTAAGTGCTGAGATTAAAGGTGTGCACCATCACTGCCCAGCTTCCTTCTTCTTTTCTTTTTCTTAAGCCTTCACACATTGTTAAACATACTGTAACCTGTTTGGCATTTTTTTTCATCTGAACCTGCTTTACTGCATATCTGTAACCTTTGCATGAGCAAAATCTTAAAACCATAATGCAGTTTAGCTCATGGCATACTGGTGGCTCAAGCCCACAGGCAACAGCAGGGAGATGCATCTCTGCACTGCAGCCACATGAGAGACTGTGGGACTAGGAAGCCATGTTTGGCTCCATTTTTGTATGTTTGAAACCTTTTTTTTTTTTAAGCTTTATCAGGTCTCAAGTGGAAATACATGCTTGACACTCTTTGTAGGTGGATTTTTTTGTCAGGACCATTGGCTCCCCAATAATGACACAGACTTCTTATGAATTATGAAAGCTTAGCCCATAGCTCAGGCTAGTTCCTCACTAGTTCTTATAACTTAAATTAATCCATTTCTATTCTTCTACGCGCTGCCATGTGGCTTGTGGCTGTTACCTCTCCTCCCGCATGTCTTGCTTGTTCTTTGGCTCATGGTATCCCTGCTTTCTCTGCCCTGAAAATCATGCCAATCTATTGGCCATTTAGCTTTTTATTAAACCTGAGTGATGCATCTTTACAGTGTACAAAAAGATTATTTCACAGCATTTCCCCAAAGGGATTGAAACCCACAGGCTAATCTCTGCTCTAGAATGTAAAGGATGCATTCTCTATGTAACGGGTACTAAACATAAATGTCATGTATGCTTAATATGAATAAACATAGGCATAATGGGGAAAGACTCCAAAAAGTGTCCAGTTATTATATTTCAATTAAAATTCTTTGAAATATTAAAAAGAATCTTCAAAACCATGACAAGTAGAAAAATGAAAAAGAACCAAATGTAACACAGATTTTAAGATATCATATATGAGGTGAAAATGACCCTGGATATGCTATTAGCAGCACATAAAACATAACAGAAGAAAATACTACTGAATTTGAAGACAGAGTGGTACAAATGATCTTAAACAAGAAATTGTTGTTTTTACCTAAGTTGTTCTATTTACCAATAAAGACTCGGGAGTCAGATTTTGGGGTGAAAACCTTCTAGATCAGAGAACCTGAGAAGCAACCAGATGACCTTCCTTTTTGACCAGAGACCCAGCAAGAGAGCATCTCTTCATTCATCCCAGACCAAAAAGGCCCATGAATCTCTAAGTCCCTCCCTAGTCCTCCCTCTGAGTCTCTCCTGTCTTCCCAGTTCCTCTGTGCTCTCTACGGCTAATTCTTGTCAACTAGCTGTTGGCTCCGCCCCCTGATCCAAGGTTAATTTTATTAAAACAGTCTTGGAGTTTCACAGTGCAATCAAATATCCCCAAACAAGAAATAGAAAAAAAAAAAGACCTCAAACACTAAATATGAGAGCTTCATTGACCAGTTGGACAGGATCAAGTGTCTAACTTATCTGTAATAGGAGCCCCATTACGGGCATAGGTAGTGGGATACTTTAAGAAATATGGCCAGTTTTTCCTAAATGTGATGAAAATTAGAAGAAACATGGGTACAGGAAACCTATGAACCCCAATAGGAAACTTCATTAAGGCACATCATAATTAACTTACTGAGAAGCAGTGATGAAGAGAACATTAAATGATGTCTTCTAAATGTCATCATATAAACAGGAACAAAGAATGACTGTGGACTTCCTCTCAGTATGCCAGACACAAGACAAAGGGGTGTCATTGTTAAAGTGTTAAAGAAAAAAACCTTGTCATCCTGGATTTCTATTCTCAGCAAAGTCTCTATCAAAAGGAAGGTGAACCAAAGAGTTCTCTTTTTTTTTTCAGACAAAAGTTGAAGGAATTCATTACCATCAAACCTGCACTGGAAGAAATGTTAAGGACTGTGCTTTGAACAGAAGACAAATTATGAAAAGTAAGAGCACAAAAAATGCTAAAGATACAAGTAAATAGAAATAAGGCTTCACATTTGTTTTATTTCTTTAGCAGTTAATTTGCTACACACACCAATAATTGTGTTGAATGGACATTTCCAGAAAAGCACTGTGGTGAAATCCTACAAACCCTGCATGCAGAAGCAAGGAGGATCTTGAGTTCAGCCTGGTATAAATAAATAAATAAATAAATAAATAAATAAATAAATAAATAAAGCCTGCTCAAAATGCAAATTGCCTAAACAGAGCATCAGACTGAATTTAAAAAGGAGAGCTATCCAATACAAGTCTATAAGAACTCCATCTAGAATACAAAAAAATTATCATAAATCAAAGGTAAAAGGATAGGTAAATAATGTCCAAGTTGAGGGCAAAATACTCCTTATGAAGCCATGAACGCAAACTTAGAATGGCTATATTAAAATCAGACAAAGTGGCAAATGCCTCTGTCCCCTGTCACAGTGTGCTGTCAGTCACAGGCAACCTTGCCATTTTCTCTAACAACACTATTGATCAGCCCCTGAGCTGCATCTCCTCTGAGCTGTTTGCAGACAAACATCCAAACACAATGGAAAATTTTTATGCTGTGAGTACCAGAGACAGAAAGGATTCGGTTACAAGGATTTCTGCTTTCATAGAATTATTCCAGGATTCATGTGTCAGGGTGGTGACTTCACATGCCATAACAGCACTAGCAGCAAGTCCATCTATGGGAGAAATCTGATGAGAACTTCATCCGAAGCATCCACAGGTCTTGGCGTCTTTTCTGTGGCAAATACAAGACAAAACAGAAATTGTCCCCAGTTTTTCATCTCATTGCCAAGACTGTGTTCTTTGGAAGGGTAAAAGATGGCATGAGTATCCTGGAAGTCAGGAAGTACCAGACCAGCAAGAGAAGTACCGCTGCCAAGGAGGACAACTCGATCCTTTTGGTTTGTATACATTTTCATCACCAGAATGTCCCTTCTGTATCTCAGGAACATGCACAAAGGAATTTTTTAAGGGACAGTAAAAATATTACCAAATCTGAATAGTTAAAATCACTCCACATCTGTTCCCTAACAACAGTGACATTAATATACAAGTCACAGAAAGATATCTGTAAAAACACCCAAATATTTGGAAATTTAAGCAATAGTCCTCTAAAAATCCCAGAGAGTCAAAAAAAGATCCAAGTACAGTCCCAGCTCTTGGAGGTGAGGTTGAGGCAGGAGGATCTCACGTTCAGGGTACATCTGAGTTGCACAGCCAGATTCTGCATTCAAAAGTAGGAAAACTGGAAAGAAGGGAGGGAGGGAAGGAGAGAGGGCAAAGGGAGGCAGAGGAGAGGGATCACTTCAAACTGGACAAATCTGGAAATAATGTATAAACCCTGCAGAATGAAAAGAGAAATCTCCAGGCCCTGTGAGTCTCACTGAAAAGCTACCAAACGTTCACAGGACCATTGATACTGGTTTTGCACAGCTCCTTCTAGGAAAGCTGAAGAAGGGACACTTCCCAACTCATTTTTTGAGGTGAACATTCCCCTGACACAAAGCAAACAAAGGCAGTACAGAAAAGAAAACTGCAGATCAACATCTCATGAACTTACACATAAACTCGGTCAGCTGCACATTGGGTAGGGGATTGTGTAGGATCTGCTTTGACTTGTCCCCAGAAATGAGTTCAGACTGAGTCTGGAGACCTCCAATCCAGGCAGGAGCCGCCTGTTACCTTTAGTTGAATCTGAGGAAGCACAGTTATAAACAGGCAGATCCACAAGAGTGGTAGGATAAAAAGCAGGTCCTATGACCAGCAGGTGGCACCAAAACCAGAGCTGGCATGGATGTGGCCTTGCCCTTGGCTGGTGCAGGAAGTATGGCTGATTGACTAGGGCTTGAAATTAGGTGATTTGCAGCAGTGCTATTATGAAATGCAGAACTGGCTACAGTGCCACCAGTAGGCAGGGCTTTACCCTGAAATGACTTCATTTTTCTGTATTTCAGTTCCTTCATCCATACAATGGGAAACCATAATCCCGTGAGATAGAATGAGTGTGCTGATTTAAGAGATACTGCAAGCCAGGCATCGTGGCACATGCCTTTATTCCCAACACTTGGGAGGCAGAGGCAAGCAGATGTTTGTGAGTTCAAGGCCAGCCTGGTCTACAGAGAGAGTTCCAGGACAGCCAGAGCTACATAGCGAGACCCTGTCTTGAAATACAAAAACCAAAACCACAACGAAAATAATTCTGCATTTAAAAGGACAAAACAGGACTGGGCATGCACTAACCACCCTACAATTTTGCTTATCGGGACAACTATTTTCCTGTTCAACTATCCATTCTTGTATTCTTTCAACAAGCATTTATTTAGTAGTTCTGTCTGTATCTCTTTAATTCCCTTAGAGATGGCCAGTGTCAACCCTTCATTCACTATTAACTTACCCTCTTCCCTGTTTTATTTTTTGTCCAAAGCATTCCAGTTAAGCAACGAGTTCAAAGTAGGGCCAGAGACTTAACCATTTACATCGAAGAAATAACAGTGACTTATATAATATACCAAATTTTGGCCTGCCAACAGTGATCTAGAAAAATACAAAAGACTGAATAGAAGAAAAATACAAGGTGACTTTGTTTGTCACTTATGAAGGAGCAAGTCTCAAAATTTGCAAAATGTACATTTAAGATAGCAATTCTGTAAGAACCATACGAAACAAAAATATGACAAAAAATGCATAAACACACTCTAAGCATTAAGTTAACTGGAAGTATCTGAAAACTACAAATTCCCAGGCCTAACTCCCAACCTCTGAAGGGAAAACCCAGCCATGAGTAGTTTCAAAAGCTTCCTGGGAAGGGGGAGGGGTCATCCAAGGTTGGTCATGTTGAACATCACACAGGTACTCAGTGTACTGCATAAACTGAGCTTCTGTCCCACCGTGGCTGAGTGCCTGCTCCATGTAACACACGGTACTAAATGTCAAATGTCATGCTGTCCTCTGAGTGCAGCTTTCTTATTTGTACTTTTCTTTCTGTGGTAAACAGAGTAGCTTGTTTTATAGCTATTTTTGTTTGTTTGGGTGTTTAATTTTTGAAATTTGGTCTTGCTATGTAGCTAGTCTCAGCCTTGAGATTCTCCTTTATCCTCCTTAGTCCAGGAATTCCAGGTTTGGGACACCATGCCTATTTAAGCTGTCTTTAAAAATGTACCTTTCTGGGGGCCAGAGAGATTGTTCAGCAGTTAAGAGCACTTGCTGTTGTTCAATTATGAGGACCAGAGTTAGCATCCACGGTCAAACTGCTCACAAATGCTTCTAAATCTAGCTCTAAGGGATCAGACATCCTTTTCTAGCCTCTGCGGGACACACACATGCCCATGCATGCACACAGATCTAGACATAGGCATTAGTACTTTTTAAAAGAATATTTCTTTCTCAGATGCAAAAAAAAGCCTACTTGGGCAGCCTCTAGTGACAATCATTTGTTACTGCTTTAACTGCACCCTTACAATTTGATCTTGGGATGACCCTGTCCCTCACCTTTCCTACCTTCACATGCGGTATACATCTCCTTGTGAATATCGTATCTATTCTTTCTCCTTTTTCTCATAGCTCACCCAAACACTTCCTTCTCTTTGTGGAACTCCATTTCCCATTTACCCTCATTGTTTCTAGGGCTCTGTTCCCCCAAATAAAGCTTGAGAAACTTCCCAGTTCTTCTTCTCGATTCATCCCTGAATGTCCACCCTCTCCCACTTTCTCTCCTCATCCTGTCATCTCATCATTTTTCTTCTAAATTCCCATAGTTGGGAGTAGAAAGGATTCTGTTGTTCACCATTCAAGTTTGTTATGGCTGTTATACCACCATTACCAAAACCGACTTATGGAAAGAAAAAACTTATTTCTGCTTACAGTTCCGGAAAGATGGTGTATAATGCAAATGGGGTATGAGGGCAGGCTGCTGGAGCAGAAACTGAAATGTCATATCTTCTGCCGCAAACAGGAAGCAGAAAGCACAAACTGGAACTGGGGTGAGGCTGTTATCTTCATAAAGCCTGAGCCCAGTGATGTGCTACCTCCAGTAAGAATGCACTGCTTTCCCCAAACATTGCCACCAGCTGGGTACCAAGTGTTCAATACCTGACCCTATGGGGACATTTCTCATTCAACACACTGCACCCATGAAGGACAGAGTGCTAAGAAGCATAGTTTCTGGCCAGTGTCAGGAGATCCGGATCACTTGTGGGAAGATGACTTAATTGTCCCACAATAGCAAACAGAGTAGCAGGTTAATATATTAACGATACTAAGAGCCACTGTCAAAACACCAAGTAGAAAAGTTAAGTCAAAAAGGATAACCATAAGTTCCTGGATCTATCCAAGAAGAAATAGGTTAGAGTCAAGGAAAGATGAAGAGAAACACAGGTAACAAAACACAGCGATCAGGTCTACGAGTGACACAGGCATATGAATTATTATATCTACCTAGTTTTATCAGCATGCCACACCACTTTTGGTTTGTTCATTTGTTTGTTTTTGATCTGTTTGTTTTGTTTTGTTTGGTGGGGGCTGCATATTTTTTCAGGTACTAGGGAATTAAACCCAGAGACTTACACACGCTAGGCAAACATGTATCACTGAACTAAAAAGCCAATCCCTGTTTACCTTTAAATGTTCATGTCTATTTTCTTAATCTGCTTTGTAAGAGACCTTTTGCGTGAATGTCACTGGATCAGGACTCTGTGTGGGAAAAGAGCTAAACTTGCTGTGGTGCTACAGTCCTTATGGCACAGCAGACTTACAAATCATTGCTTTGTATGTGGTGTTTATTAATGTGGACAGAGTGAAGGTAATGCCAGATTTTGCAAGGGATGGGGTGCTAATGACTCAGAAAGTAGAGCAAGAGGTAACCAGAAGGGCAAATACAGGATGCTGTGAACAGAGTCAGAGTCTGTGCCTAAAGGATGGCAACTGGAAGGATGAAGTAAGCCCAGAGCCATGGGAACGAGGTCAAGGATCCAAAGCCAACAGCACCAGAAATCCTTTCATAAGACAAAGTGATATCACGAAATAAACATTTTATATTGCAGGTGGACAAAAATATCAGTGGAAGAGTCCATTTACAATGAGCTTTGAACATATGCACTAGGAGTAAATGGCCATGTGTGTGAACACATGTACTAGGAGTAAATAGAGATATGGGGTCAGGTTCTTCAATATGTTCTTTCCATCAGACAGGATAAGTCCAGTTCCCCATCTGGATTTTCTTATCAGGAGGTGGAGTTACTCTCCAAGGAGTATGTGAATTATCCTAAGAGCATATCCTGTCTATGTTTCTCCTACCGTACTAGACTTGGCCTGGTGATTGTGAACAATATCAGCTTGACTCATTTACTTGAAGACACACTTGAGATTGCTGGAGTGAGCCCTTAACTGTGTGATAGAAGACAGTTGCTAAAATTTGGCGGTAGAATAGCATGTCTAGAAAACCAACCCTAAGACATAAGAACTGTGAACTTTTTAGCTTAGACTCTAGCACAGACAGCTGCAAAACGAGAGAGAGAGAGAGAGAGAGAGAGAGAGAGAGAGAGAGAGAGAGAGAGAGAGAGAGAGAGTTAGCGGGCCTCCAATGAGATGCTTCTCACCTTGCTTGTACTGACCATGACCTTGCTTTACAATGTCTCTTATGTTGCCAGAGGGAATCCTGAAGATGATCCTGGGAAACCTGAGCTCCTACATATTCTTGGACAATAGCTGTGATCATAGAAATTTTAGATGTTCTTGAGAAGATGTGACAGAAAAGCTACCAAGACTACAAAATTTAAAGACAAGCCATCAAGACTGCAAAATAGTCTGGAGAGATGAATTCAGAGAGCTAATACACGTAAATACAGTGCTCATTTCTGCATTACTTACCATCTCATCTTTGTCATCTGCCTTCTTTTAAGAAAATCCTGTTATAGAGTATCTACATTCTGGGTAACAATGACTTCCAAACTGTTGTAGAAAAGCCAGTCATGAAGGCAGCATTTCAGATCAGGCTGAGTGGTTAGGAAAAACACTTTTTTTTTTTTGCACAACCTGGCTCTGTCCTTCTTGAAGGAGGGGTGCAGAATCCACTCAGAGACCAACACCTTTCTCTATCCTTCTTGACTTCTCTTTGAAGTTACAGGAGAAAAACAATCTATCAACACGTCTTCCTTGGTCTTGTTACAACCAGCTGATAATACCACGAAGTAAGTAACTTCACCCCCTGAGCCAGCAGAGACATGGTGATGGGGGAAGTCCTGTGTATATGTCAATAAAGTACTGTTGGCCAATAGGGAATCAAGATAGGTGGGACTAGGAATCCAGGAGGACTCTGGGAAGGAGAAACACAGGAGTCGAGATGTAACCGCCATGGGGTAGGAAGCCTGGAAATTTCTCCGGTAAGAGAAATACTTAGATTAACAATTATGGGGTAAATACTTAAGTCAGAGCTAGCCAGTAAGAAACAAGCAAGGCCAACAGCTTCATAATTAATACCGTGTCTTGTGTGTTATTTGGGGACTACAGCACAGCAGAGCCCAGGCGACTGGCGGGGGATAAACCAAAGCTGCTGGCAAGGAAAAGGCTTCTCTTTACAACATGGTAATTAAGTAACTTGCCTAGACACACAGGTAAGGACAGAGGACCCAGAATTTGAACTCTGGTCAATCTTTTTCCATAGCGATGATTTTTATTAAGTAAGTCAATACTACCTCAAAGCACAGACAAAGAACAGTGTTAGGGGACAAAAATTGTCATGTCCACTAGATAATAGTTGAAGCTTGTTGATTTTAACATTAACTCCCATTACAGCCAACATAAAAGGAGAATACGAGTACAAATTAAGAATACATGGTGGTCTGAAAGGGGCAAGGATTTTATATTGATAAGAATCAATATAAGGCTATGGTACATTTTCAGTATTCAGATCCCCTTTAGGGTGTGTGGTGGTTTGAATGAGAAATGGTTCCCATAGGCACAAGCATTTGAACACTTGGTCCTCAGTGGATGGCGCTAGTTGGAGAGGCTTAGGAAGTGTGAATTTGCTGGAGGAAGTATGTCATGGTTTTGAAAGGCAATCCTGTCTCCGCAAATCCTCAGAGGTAAACGCCCTGGTTCCTGTCTCCTCCTGCCTTATGTTCATTTCTCTGCCCAGCCATATCACTCTTGTCTCCATCTCCCTAGTGCTGGGATTAAAGGTGTGTGATCCCAAGTGCTGGGATCAAAGGCACGAGCTCTGTTACTCTTTACTCTTGTGTAGCCCAGGGTGGCCTTAAATTTAGAGAGATTCATCTGCCTGTCTCCTGAGTCCTGGGATTAAAGGTGTGTGCCACCACTGCCTGTGATAGCTTGATAATATGAGTGCTGGGATTAAAGATGTGTAGCACCATTGCCTGACCTCTATGGCTTGTGGCTAGCTTTGCTTTCTATACCTTCAGGCAAGCTTTACTAAATTGTAAATAATATATCAATAGTCTTGCCTTACTTTCAGTTTGATCTCTTTGTTTCCTACTTGGGGTTGAGATGTGGACTCCCACACCTCACCGCCATGATGGACTCTCACCTTCTGTAAGCTAAAATAAACCCTTCCATAAGTCACTTTGGTCATGTTGTTTTATCATAGCAATAGAAAAGTAACTAATGTGAGATGACCTAAAAATAAGATTAGTTTGCTGTTGCTTTAAATTTTTTCCCCTAAGGACCAAACCTCCTTTTGAAGATTAAGTGATGGTTTCTCAAAATGTCTAAGTCTCAACTCTTTTCAGGAAAGGGAGCTATATTACCAAAATGAAACTTTAGGAATAGGGGTCTAGCTGGATGAAGGTGGTCCTTGGTCCTTGGGGATATATTGTTCCTGACTCCTATATGTGACTCCTGTCCTTCATAAGGTTCTGTCCATGAACATGGGGTCAACAGGACATGGAATGAGCCCCATGAAACTGTGAGACAAAACAAATCCTTCCTCCTCTTAGTTGTTCCCCTGTGAATTTTGGTCATGACTTTGTAATGCAAACTATTATAACCGTACTATAGGACATTACAAAATAAAGAAATGAATCACACATAGTTCAGTCTCTATCAGGCAAGCACTGTTACTACTTGGTACAATTTATACATAATTTTCTAATACATTTTTAGACTTTTTAACAACTGCACATATACTCTGTATCTTACTTTGAAGAATAATAATTATTAATATGCTCTTTCTTGTTATGATTCATAGCCTCCGAAGTGGTTTATTTAGTTATATATTTCATTAAGTAGACTTTATTTAAATTACTCCCCTCACTATTGAATATTTAGGTAACTGAAAACTTTTGCTATTATAAATTATTCTGCAGTAAACATCTTTATGCAAATAGTATCTATTTACATAAAGTGTATTAGATTCATCTCTTCTTATGGTCACTACCTAGGCTAGGCCTTAAGCATCATATATCTCAATTAATGGATTAACATGCTTGTCAGTCTCTTCTGCTTTTAACCACTCAATGTAACACTAGAAGATGGGTCATCCCATAGGCCACTTGCATGATGCCACCTTAAGATGTCTGTCATGCTTATCTGCCCATCTTTCATATGGTATGACAGTTATGCTATAACTCTTGGGCCTACATGTGAAACATTCTGGGTCCTAAGAAAAAGGGAATAAACTAGAGCCAAGGGAACTGAATTTAGAACATTCCGTCCCAGACATCAATACTGGGGCTCAGGAAGCCTGTAATGTTTCAATTAGAACACCACCACCTAGTGAATAAGAGCACAACGTTGTAGTCACTGGGGAGTGATGACACACACGGGCAGGCGGGACCAGAGTCAGAGACCAAGAGAAGGTTATCCCAGCTAAAAAAGAATGTGCAGAGTCAGCCACTGTGGGGCACAGAGCCAGCAAGAACTAGGCAAACAATCGTACCTGAGTGTGTGTGTCGGGGAAGTCCTGTGTATATGTCAATAAAGCACTGTCTGGCCAATAGGAATCTAGATAGGTGGGGCTAGGAATCCAGGAGGATTCTGGGAAGGAGAAACATGGGAGAGTTCGACATGTAACGCCATGGGGTAGGAAGCCCGGAACTATTCTCCAGTAAGAGACATACTTAGATTAACAATTATGGGGTAATTACTTAAGTCAGAGCTAGCCAGTAAGAAACAAGCAAGGCCAACAGCTTCATAATTAATATAGCCTCCTGTGTGTTTATTTGGGACTGACGCGGCTCTAGAACCAGGCTGGCGGGAAGGCCCCTATCAAAAGAAAAAGCTTCTCTTTACATGTGTGGTGTGGTCTGGATCAAGAGGCTGAGCAGAAGCCCAGCTGTAGCAGCTAGGTCTTCATGTAAACAGTGGGCAATCCTCCAAGAAGCCACTATTTACAGGAATTACAACAGTAAGTTGCTGGTTTAAAGTAAGAAGCTGGATCTGGAATTAGTGGACCTGGTTTCTTAACTTACCACCCACGTGGTGAGAAAATCCTGTAAGCAGGGCCTAGAGAAACAACCTGATGGACACAACTCCTGTGTGTCACTGGCAGAGATGAACCCCAAACCGAAAACAAAATGAGTAAAAAATACAAGCAAAACATGCATCTATGTATGTTGAATCAAATGAATATATATATTAGCCTAACTCCTTGAATACAATTCCACTTTTGGTAGTCTTTTCTTTTGAATTGAAGTCATTATCGTTTCAGAAAGGTATACATATAAAGTTCTGTCAGCTTTAAAGATTTGGGTTGAAGGCTGAGAGGAGTCAAAGGGGTTTCAGAGGTGATAGTGAGCAATTAGACCTTTTAACAGCCAGATTTGCCAGAGAAATAGGGTGTGTGTAGGCTGCGTGTGTGTGTGTGTGTGTGTGTGTGTGTGTGTGTGTGTGCTTCAATGCTTTTTCAAATATCTGTTTAAACTCTGTAATAGCTATTCTTGTTTGTCGACTTCACTACATCTGCAACTAAAACCTCAAAATGGAAGGCACACCTGTGAGGGGTTTTGCTTAATTTGAAGCAGGCAGGAAAATCCACTCCTAATCTGGATCTTTGAGTTAGAAAGTCACGCCTTTAATCTGGGCCACACCTTCTACTGGAAGACTATATAAGGAAGAGGAAAGCTTTTGCTGTTTGCCTGCTTGTCCTTACCTTGAGAGCAAGTCCATTCCTTCACTGTCATTAGAGCCTACTTCTTTGGGATTTCAGCATCTACAGAATACCAGCTAAGACATCCAGACTTGTGGACTGAGCAACTATTGGATTCTTGGACTTTCCCTTCACAGACAGCCACTGTTGGATTAGCTGTACTTCAGTCTGCAAATCATTCTAATACATCCCCCACCTCTCTCTTTCTCTCTCTCTTTATACATTCATCCTATAAGTTCTGTTACTCTAAAAAAACCTAAATGTAAATTCTCATTATAAATATAGAGAGATTATAATTATATATAAGTATATCTTGTATATACAAATATATGTTATATCTATATATTATATAGATTATATAAGCTATATAATTATGTATAATATAGATTATATAATATCTCTAAGTGTGGTATAATCTGTATATTATAAAACTACATTATATTTATATACAATATTTATATAAATATGTAATTATATATTATGTAATTTAATATATGAATTATGTAATTTATATTGTGTAGATTATATATAATATATATATATATATATATTTGGAGAGATAGAGTAAGGGAGAGAGAGATAAAATAAAGGCAGAAACCAAGGGAGAGAAAAGTTTTAAGAGGAGGAGGGTACCTAACCAAGCTAAAATCTGCAAAGCACCCTGGAGGTTAGAAACCAGGAAAGGGTACCTTTGAAGTCAAGTATGACATCACCTGGAGACAGTATTCTGTCCTCTTCAGGTGCTTGGGCCT